AAATTGTGAATTTCATGGCCCCTGGGTCAGGGGTTCTGGTGTTAGGGTGGGACTCTACTGATTATATAGTGAAAATGCATTAATTCATTGAAAATCTTCTTCTCTGCTTCTGGGTATTAAATTCAGTAACTAAGTACATAGTTATGATGAGCAAGAGTGCCTCTTTCAAAATTGTGAATTTCATGGCCCCTGGGTCAGGGGTTCTGGTGTTAGGGCGGGGCTCTATTGATTGTAAAGTGAAAATGTTTTAATTCTTTAAAAATCTTTTTCTCTGCACCTGGGTATTATTTAAACAAACTAAGTACATTGTTATGATAAGCAAGGATGCCTCTTCCAAAATTGTGAAATTCATGGCCCCAGGGACAGGAGTTCTGGTGCTAGGACGGGGCTATATAGATCCTATAGTGAAGGTGAATTATTTCTTTGAAAATCTTCTTCTCTGCCCCTGGGTATTGTTTAAACAGACTAAAGTACATTGTTATGATACGCAAGGATGCCTCTTCCAAAACTGTGAATTTTATGACCCCAGGTTTAAGGGTTCTGTTGAAAGGGGGGGGGGGAGGGGGGCTTCTATTGATTATAAAGTGAAAAAGCAAAATTTCTTTGAAAATATTCTTTTCTTCTTCTGGTTAAAAAAGCAAAGAAGCTAAGTGTATAGTTATGATGAGCAAGTGTGCTTCTTCCAGAGTAGTGAATTTCATGACCCCTGGGTCAGATGTGCTGGTGTGGGGGTGGGGATCTTGATAATTTAGTGAAAATGCATTAATTCTATTAAATAATCCTGTTTGCTCCTTAGTGTTAAGCAGATAAACAAAGTGATTAGTTATGATGAGCAAACATATGGTCCCAGGGTCAGAAGCTCTGGTGTTTCGGGGGTGGGGGGGTTGAGAGGGGGGGGCTCTATTGATAATATAGTGAATCTGTAGTAAAAATGCATTATTTATTTAAAAATCTTCTCCACACCTGGACTTATCTGAGGCAAACAGAGTAAAAGTTTTTATAAGGAAGGGAATTTTTACCAGATTTTTGAACATCTGGACCATTTGGTCAAGTGTTCTGGTCCTGGCCAGGGCTCTATTAGTTTGTATTCTACTGAGAGGAGTTATTTCCCTTTGCCATTTACTTTTGATAATTTATTACTGTAAATAATGTACTTGAAAGGTAAATAGAATAAGAGAAAAACTTTTATTGTATAATACAAAAAGTACTCTCATAGTTTTAATGATCAAATAGACTTGTAAGTAGTAGTTAAATAACAAGAGGCCCATGGGCCACATCGCTCACCTGAGCACATTGGCTAGGCAAAAGCACAAACAGTTCAGTATTGAAAAGACCAGGGGGGGGGGTGAATTTTAAACTACCTGATGATGCTTCCATGTCAATATAACAAATGGCTTTGTTGTACTTGAGAAGTTTTTTAAAAAATATTCCTTTGTAAAAATTTGATCCCTCATTGTGGCTCCTCCCTATCCCAAGGATCATCATTTGAACAAACTTGAATCTACACTACCTGAGGATGCTTCCATATCAATATGACTAAACAAAGCTTTTCTGTTCTTTAGAAGAAATATTTTTTCTATATGTTCTTATGTAAAACTTTCCTTCCCCCATTGGGCCCCACCCTACCCCTGGGGGTCATCATTTGAACAAAATTGAATCTACACTACCTGAGGATGCTTCCATATCAAAATGACTAATCATGGTTTGCAGTTCTTCAGAAGAAGATATTTTCCTTTATATTTCTATGTAAAACTTTGATCCTCCATTGTGGCCCCGCCCTACCCCCGGGGGTCATGGTTTGAACAAACTTGAATCTACACTACCTGAGGATGCTTCCATATAAATATGACTCATCATGACTTTGCTGTTCTTGAGAAGAAGATTTTTAAAGATTTTTCCTATATATTTCTATGTAAAACTTTGATCCTCCATTGCAGCCCCGCCCTACCCCCGGGGGCCATGGTTTGATCAAATTTGAATCTACACTACCTGAGGATGCTTCCATATAAATATGACTCATCAGGGCTCGCTGTTCTTGAGAAGAAGATTTTTAAAGATTTTTCCTATATATTTCTATGTAAAACTTTGATCCTCCATTGCGGCCCCGCGCTACCCCCGGGGGTCATGGTTTGAACAAACTTGAATCTACACTACCTGAGGATGCTTCCATATAAATGACTCATCATGGCTTTGCTCTTCTTGAGAAGAAGATTTTTAAAGGTTTTTCCTATATATTTCTTTGTAAAACTTTGATCCTCCATTGCAGCCCTGCCCTACCCCCGGGGGTCATGATTTGAACAAACTTGAATGTACACTACCTAAGGATGCTTCCACATGAGTTTCATCTTTCCTGGCCCTATGGTTCTTGAGAAGATTTTTAAATGATGCCATTATTTTTTCAGTAATTCCTAATTATCTCCCCTTGAAAGAGGGCGTGGCCCTTCAAATGAACAAACTTGAATCCCCTTTACCCAAGGATACTTTGTGGCAAGTTTGGTTGAAATTGGCCCAGTGGTTCTTGAGAAGAAGTCGAAAATGTGAAAAGTTTACAGACAGACAGACAGACAGACGGACGGACATACATTAGGTGATATATTGGGTACGTCAAGTCCAAGTCTTCTTGGATATTGCTTATTGGATATAAAAAAAGTGTACATACGAGAGAGCATTCTTTGGGTAGTAACTGTTTAAATCTTATTGGGTATAAATGCTTATGTCCAAAACTTTATTGAGATTTTTCTTATAATTCTTGATTCATACCAAATTTGTGGTTGTTTAATTGTTTGCAGGTAAATGAAGACAAGACTGTACACCTTTGATTTGGAACACACTTTTTTCATACTATCTGTGATATAGCTTTTTTGAGAAGTAAATATTGTTAGCATCCACATTATTACTGGCAAATTAGGATATATATTTAAAAATACCTCATACTGGAATGTGTTTACCTAAATGCACATACGAATACACATACGAAGACAACCCAACACATCTCAGACACCTGTTTAACCCTTCTTGGATACTTAAAACAAGCATTTGATGAGAAACCCAACAAGTCTTTTGAATCATGTCCGATTCCTATTGGATACATATAAACTTGTATTAGAATACAAGCCAACAGGTATTGGACACCTGTCCAACTCCTCTTGGATACCTACATCCCTTAACAACATATACAACCCAACAGGTATGGACACCTGTCCAATTCCTCTTGGATATCTACATCCCTTCATCTGAATACAAGCCAACAGGTATTGGACACCTGTCCAACTCCTCTTGGATACCTGCATCCCTTCATCAGAATACTACCCAACAGGTAATGGACACCTGTCCATCTCTTGGATACCTACATTCTACCCAACAGGTATTGGACACTTGTCCAATTCTTCTTGGGTTAATGAAATCCTTTCATCACAATACTACCCAACAGGTATTGGACACCTGTCCAACTCTTCTTGGATACCTACATTCCATCCAACAGGTATTGGACACTTGTCCAATTCTTCTTGGGTTAATGAAATCCTTTCATCACAATACAACCCAACAGGTATTGGACACCTGTCCAACTCCTCTTTGATACCTACATTCCACCCAAAAGGTATTGGACACTTGTCTAACTCCTCTTGGTTATCTGCATCCCTTCTCTTAGAATACAACCCAACAGGTAATGGACACTCGTCCAATTCTTCTTGGGTTACTTGAATCCCTTCTTCAGAATACAACCCAACAGGTATTGACACCTGTTCAACTCCTCTTGGATACCTACATTCCATACAACAAGGAAATGACACTTGTCCAATTTTTCTTGGGTTACTTGAATCCCTTCATCAGAATACAACCCAACAGGCATTGGACATGTGTCCAACTCCTCCTGGATACCTACATTCCACCCAACAGGTATTGGACACTTGTCCAATTCTTCTTGGGTTAATAAAATCCTTTCATCTTAATACACCCAACAGGTATTGGACACCTGTCCAACTCCTCTTGGTTATCTGCATCCCTTCCTTAAAATACAACCCAACAAGTAATAGACACTTGTCCAATTCTTCTTGGGTTAATTAAATCCTTTCTTCACAATATATCCCAACAGGTATTGGACACCTGTCCAACTCCTCTTGGATACCTACATTCCACCCAACAGGGTAATGGACACTTGTCCAATTCTTCTTGGGTTACTTGAATCCTTTCATAAGAATATAACCCAACAGGTATTGGACACCTGTCCAACTCCTCTTGGTTATCTGCATCCCTTACTTAGAATACAACCCAACCTGCATTAGAGTGCAACCCAATAGGTATAAGACATCTGTCTATCCCTTGTTGAATACATATTTATCTGCATAAGTATACAACAGTCTAAAACTTCTTGAATACTGGAATCCTAACATTCTAAACTGGTTCAGAAAGTTTTCAAAATATATTTTACAAATGATAGGACAAGATATAAGCATTCTGCATCATAACTATTTGGCCGTTAATGCAAATGAAGCCAATTTTCTAAGCATGGTTGTGAAATTTAAATATTGCAACTTGGCAGTAACTCAATAAATCTAAAGCAACATAATGAAAAGATTTCTTCCCAAACCTTTACTTTATCTACCATGTAGTATCTGTAAGAACCAACCAATTAAGAAATAGTCTCTTTTTTACATTTAACTTCGAAACACAGAACAGATTTTACTTAAACATTGCCAGGTAGATATGTTAAAGGTACATGGACACAGTTCATATTGCCATTTTGTTTATAATTTTAAATTTCTAATTTAGTTTTAAAAAAATTCAGTTTTATGATTTGAACTTGCAGGAATTCTTAAAATTCAGTGACAACAATATTCTTCATAACATTACATCAAACACCTGCATTTGTAAACATGGCACAAGGTCTGTTATTGTTTTTGTTTACTTTTTGCTAACTTTGCACACATCACTGCACACTTACTGACAACACTGGTGAATCGTTTTTTGCTTTCTACATTTTTATTCTCACTTTTCTTGATTACAGTTTAAATATGCCCTATTGATATGCCACAGAATTTCCACTTTTTTAAATACTAAGGATGAATTTTAGTTTGAGAAAATCCAAGAATGTACAGCAATCATACACACCCAAAATTCATTCTTTTATAATTTTATGTTAAATGAAGTTTTATAACCCGCTTTAATAATGTCAGACTTCCTGGAGTGGTGTTTGTGTTCAAACATTCTCTGAAATATTCATGCACCTCCTTCAGTTTTGCCTCCATCCACTTTATTCATGCTGCAATTAGATCATCAGTACACATTTGTATTTGACTCTTGATTCAACTTCAAAGTGTTATCAGACGCTTGATGGGAACCAAATAGCAATAGGTCACCTATGTGAGTCAAATGACCTAAAAAACAGTAAAATTATGCAAAAATGAAGGGGACCAATTAGACTTACTTACATATTCTATTCAAGTGGAATAAAATGGAAATTTTCACTCAATAAATGTAATCAATCAAGATTTATATAATACAAAGTTTTAAATAAATGACATTTTCATCCCCATCCAAAGACAGATACAATTAAATAGGAGTATAGTATTCATAACATTTCATATTTACAGGCAATTCAATTTATAATAAGCTCTTTAAAAATTCAACATCATTACCTTCCAGTGTGATATCTGTCAATTTTCTGCAAGCATTTTTCACAGTCAGGCCATACACTGTTAACAGCACAAGTTTGGAAATGTCCACAGGCTCAATGACCCCCGAGATCTGCCTATAATGTATTTTATGGACGTCTACTGTATGACCCAAGTGATTTGTCAGCCATTGTTGTTGTTGGGGTGATATGTCAAATACCTGAAAACACAAAAGCAGTCTCATTAAGATTCTAGAAACTATTGTACATACTATATTTTCAAGTAAAGAAATTTATCAAAGTCAAACAACTATTTGAATTCCTGAGCTATATGTTTATTATGTAGACTGAAGTGTATCAAGCTATTAATAAATACCGTAAATCTGGAAATTTTTACGTTGATTTATTTTTGCGAATCTGGATCAAAAGTCTGTTGATTAATATTCACGTTTAAAATTTTTGCGAATCGTCATTTGAACTAAGATATAAAAAGCTCTTAAAATTTTCTTAAACGTTTGTAAGTTACGCATGTACATAAAATAAATTACGAATAAACAAACAATACTAAACTACGCCAACGTTCAATAAAGAGATAAAAAAATTAGAAAACATAAATCATCCAAAGTGTTGAAAGTTTTCATAACATTTTCATAAATCACACATGTAAATAAAATATATATAACGATGTAATCTTTGAGTAATCTTTAGATAAAAACATTTTTTGTTGTTGATTTATTTTTCAGAAAAATATTTTTGCGAATGCAATACATGCGCAAATTTGCTAAAAATTTATCTACAGCAAAAATTTCCAGATTTACAGTATACTAGTCTTTACTGGTCAGCAAAGTTGACTTTTAAATCAACAAAAAAACAATTACTGTGTAGAATTCACAAAGAAACATTCTTGTCAAGTTCCTGTCCAGTTTGGTTCAATTTGCCCAATGGCTCACAATAGGATTGAAAAGTTAAAATTTACAGACAAGATGGACCATGGTGTACATTAAATTTTATTCATTAGATTAAGTTTCTCAGTAATACCGTAAATCTGGAAATTTTTACTGTAGATAATTTTTTAGCAAATTTGCGCGTGCATTGCATTCGCAAAAATATGTTTCTTAAAAATAAATCAACAACAAAAAAAAAAATGAAAGCAAAAAAATATTTGCTATTTTTAACAAGATGAACAGGTGTTCGTAGGCAGTGGTAAACCTGTTTATACTACAAGCTAATTACTCGTGATAATCCGTGCTTGAGAATGCCTTCACTGCATTCAGTATCGTCCCATGGTTTGACAGGCAGTATATCTCTTTTAAATTATTTCTCTAAGAGCGAGGGCAGTTGTTTTATCTAAGAACAAACGTTTTTTATCTGAAGGTTAGTTAAAGCTGACATCGTTTTATATATTTTATGTACATGCGTGATTTATTAAAATGTTATACAAAATTTAAATAGTTTAGATGTTTTATCTCTTCTAATATTTTTATCTGATTATTGAACATTGGCATGGTTTAGTATTGTATGTACATGCGTAATTTATTGTATGTACATGCGTAATTTATTGTACATGTATATACATGCGTAATTTATAATCCGGTTATTGAATGTTGGCATCGTTTAATATTGTATGTACATGCGTACCACGTGCGTAACTTATAAACTGCTATGAAAATTTTCAGCGCTTTTTAATTTTAGCACCCATGGCAAAATTTTGAAACGTAAAAATTAATCAACAGCTTTTTGACCCAGATTTGTAAAAATAAATTTCCAGATTTACGGTACAACTTAATAATTAGTGTATTTGATATTGTTATTTTATTTTGTTGCTTTACTATTGTTTGTCCTGTTTACGAAAACAAACACAGCAATAGGTCGCCAAACCATAATGCACACAATGCAACTAAATTTCTGAAAGTCTAGGAAAACAGCTGATAAAAATAAATGGCTTTTTGTTAATCAAAAATTTCGGTCCGGCAGAAATTCATTTGGCCCTGTGAAATGCATCAGACTGTCGGTCCGAATGTCCAGTGTTAATTATTTTTTCAAGAACACTTAGCAATTTAGTTGATTTTCAATGATTTCTACAGAAGTGGGCAGATTTTTTCTGACCACAGTCAGAAAAAAGCAAAATATGAACCAGATGGAAAAAGCTACATGCACAGTATTCTTCATACACAAGTCTAATAAAGTACATGTTATTAAATACATTACATGCAAGCACTCTGAAATATATCTTGTTTTTGTTCTGTTTTAACTTCCATTTCTGGTAAATTTCATTTTTATAAATAGTCTATGTACTCAAATTTTGCTATGAAGATGACTATTGTTATACATAAAAACTTGACAGAACACTCATAATGACCGTAGAAAACATTAGTTCATTTTAAAAAAAAAATTGTATGCACATTCATGAATGTTTATTACCATTTTAAATTTTTACCATTTCTATTTTCAGACTTTTTAAATTCCCTCAGTCACAATTCTATGTCAAGTTCGGAAAAAAAGCCAAGGCTTCCAAGTAGACTGGGATAAACTCATCCACATTTGTGCAATTACATGAAAGAATATCCTAAATATCTTTTCATAACCTAAAATTGGAAAATGTTCATTCCTTTCTTATCCCAAATAGATTTCTTGAATTGATAAGAAATGAATACTGTAAAATCTAACAGAAAGAATTTTTTGAGACTGAAAGAAAATGGTAAGAGAATGTAATTGATAGGGTATTCTGTCATGTAATTGTTCATTTTAAAATTAACTAGTTGAAATCCCGTGCAAGCGCGGGGAATTGAATTTATACCACTACCGACAGAAAAATTCCAATAATATATATTGTAGTTTCTACCGACAGTCTACAGGCTTATAGCAGGAAAAAATACTTTGTTCAAAATTCTGCAGTTAGTTTTGGAGCAGAAGTAGATGTACGTTTCCACCCCCTTCTCTCTCTCTCTCTCTTTGTAAAAACTTGAAAAAATAACAATTTCATTTATTGACGTTTATTATGAAACTTGTTATACTATGTAATGGATATTGTACTTCAGATGCTCTTATTTCGTCAAGGATAGCAAATAGCAGCAGCGAATTTATTTGCACATTTTACTAATAGATTGATTTTTTTTTTACATAAACTTTTAACGCCTTATGAATGGGCCGAGTATTTGATACAAAAGACTGTATACAGAAAAAAAACCCTGAAATGTATTGATTAAAGCACAAAATTTTAACAACTTTACTTGTATTTGAACAATACCTAATATTCATTTATTAATTTCATTTTCTTTTTTCACGTAAGCAAGTTTATTACGAAGTACAATTGTACTTCGGGTTCATTGCCACGATGCTCTCAGTGAGAAGTATACAAATTTTACCGATAAATTTATTAGGAAAACCTACCAGGTACTAATAGTCTTTAGATACATTGTCATAAATACATTCAGAACTTATAGCGTCATCGATGATTTACCATTATTTCAATGACCATTCACACAAAAGCTTTTTTATGCTCATACAGCTATAATCGCCTCCTTTTTCTTTTTTAACAACGGGCTCAATACTATATGATATTCTAGAAGTTTCTGTCAATATTAAGATCGGTGAATGCGAAAATAATTTGCACATTTCCCTTTTTCATCGGTTATCACAACTTATTCCTTTCATATTATTTAAATCAAGTTTTGATTGAATAATTCAGTGATGACGTTTTATGGAATAAATAAACGATTGCTTGTTGTCAGTTTCATTAAAAATTGCCAGTAATTTAGATCCGCCAACCGGAACCGCCACCGTACTCACCTTTTTGCTATTTCATGGCTGTTTATAGAAAATGAAAGTAGAATTTTAATCTAATGTACGATATTTACTATGCGAGTGAAATCTAAATAAAGTTTACCTACACCACCTCCTATCTAGAGTATTCATAGAGGAGTAAGTAAGAAGTCTGGTGCAGCCGTTTCGGAGTTTATTTGCAAAATTTATTAATTTATAAGTATAGATATTGTGAATTTTATGTGCAACACATTAAGTGCTCTTACCTTGGCATATCTCTACATCATTTGGTAATTGATCCACCTGTGTAATGGTAAAATAAGAAATTTATCTCTACATTTTTAGATAAACCTTACTACATAACATGCAGAAGCCCTGTCATTATTTTTCTTTTAAGAAAAATATACCCCTACCTTAATAGGTAGGGGTATATTTTTTCTTCATTAAAAGAAAAGTAATAACTTCAGCAAGTCAGGTGCCTGTGATTGCATGATGGGAATATGTTAGGTATGTTGTGAAATGTAGAGAGGCTGTGTGCCAGATCTTCACTAATTATACAGCAATTTTGATTTTCTTACATATCAGATGTGATTAACTTATATACAGTTATCTTGTTATTGTCAATTA